TGTGTGTGTGTGTGTGTGTGTGTGTGTGTGTGTGTGTGTGTGTGTGTGTGTGTTTACCAGTCCATATGCAGTGCTTCTCTCATGCTCCTCTGTGATGTCAGCAACGTAGGCGAAAATGACAGAAAAGGTCACAGAGAAAATCCCTGAGACGGAGATCAGAGCGAAATACCACCTGAACAGGGAGGAGGACAGGTTGGACAACTTACTTACACACTGCACAACTTTAACTGAGAGTTTTTATCCAAACAATCAATGATTATAAAGATAAATGAGGAAAATCAACAGCTGTTCAAACTCTCACAGCCCTCTGTTTGTTTTATAAGGTTTATTACTTGGTGCATTCTGATTGGTTGCTGGATCTGTGACATAAACACATGAAACGAATCAACAGAGCAGAAGTTTTACTCCTGAGAGTAACTCAGTGTTTGGACCGTCACCTCCTGGGTGAAGGAGCAGACATGAGGAGGAGGAGGAGCAGCTCCTCACATGAACATCATGTGAGTCAAACAGTGACTCTGAGCTCAGATCAGAACATTTAAAACCAGAGAAAACTGAGCTTTAAAACCATTAAATGAATCTTTATTAAATATAAAATCATTAAAAGAATCATTAAATATTGAGGAGCAGCTTCACTGCAGCCTGAGATAAATAAAAACAGTAAACATAAACGTGTTTCAGCTCTTAAACATGAATAAATAATGAGACTAGCTGGAAGCTGAGCTCACAAACACTTCTGTGTAGAAACTGAAGAGGTGTTTGGAAACTAACTCCAGCTGAGCTCATGTCAGACTCATCAGTGCAGTTACTACCACAAACAAACAAACAAACAAACAAACAAACAAACAAACAAACAAACAAACAAACAAACAAACAAACAAACAAACAAACAAACAAACAAACAGAAACTGTTTTCAACCTTCAGATCAGAGCTGGAGGAAAACAGACGTTCAGTAAAAAATAACTGAAGTTTTTTAGCAACAAATAAAAACAGAAACATCAGATTTTATAGGTTTTTGTTGAAAATAATTGTTTTTATGTTTCTGACTTTAATCTGAGCCTTATGTGAACTCTGCTGATGCAGGTGAGAACAGGTGTGTCTCTGACCAGGGGCTGATCCTCATGAAGGGGATGGGGGCGCAGGTGAAGAAGACCGTGATGAGGAGGAAGGACTTCCTGCCCCAGGTGTCTGACAGAGCACCAATCAGAGGAGCCGACAGGAACGACAGGAGGCCCTGGGG